GGATTCCTGGCCCAGCACGGGAACGTCAGCCTGAGAATTTTTGTAGCCCGACTCTACAACCATGAAGACCCAGAAAATCGCCAGGGGCTGAGGACCCTGAACAGCACTGGGACCCCCATCAGGGTCATGACTAACAGGGGTCAGCTGCTTGGAAGGGACCTGGGGGGAGGGGCAGATTCCAGCAGGACTGGTGACTGGGAGCCACGAGGGAGGCCTGGGCTAGGACAGTAGGGCCCGGGGACAAGATTCTGGGCCCACGTGGAAGGACGCTGGGCTGAGGGCAGGCCCGGGGAGGGCCGTGTGAGGGGGGCTCCTGTCCGGCCTGGGGAGCTGACCGCCTGCCCTGCCCTGCAGAGTTTGCCCTGTGCTGGGAGCGCTTCGTGAGGCACCAGGGAGCAGCCTTTGAGCCCTGGGCAGGTCTGCGTGAAAATGCGGACCTGCTTCTGGGACAGCTGGAGGACATCCTGGGGGTGAGCGCCTCGTGGCCCCTCTGTCCTCCCCCCTCCCCACTCTGGGCATCCTGATCTTTCCTGGGCTTTTGGGGAGTCCTTCCTCTTCTCCCTGTGCTCAGGTCACTCAGCTCCTGCTTTAACCCTAGACCCTGCCCCTAAGTCCTCCCACCTCTTCCCCCTCAGTCCTTCCCTCCTCATTCCCTGCAGACCCTTGGCTTCTCCCACCTGCCAGAGTCCTCCTCCTCCCTCTCCCCTCCTTCCCCTCCTCTCCTCCCCAGGGACTGTTCTCTCCTGCCTCTCCCTGCCTCCTGAGGCTCCCCTAACTCCAGCCCTGATTTCCCTCCTCTCTCTGCCCCAGCAGGTCTGAGGCCTTTGGCTCCTACCCTGGAGGCTCTGTCCCTAAGAAGAGCAGGTGTGAGTCCTCTCCCCCAGCCTTTCTCCAGGTGCTGCCTGCTGCCGAGTCATGACCATTCAAGGCAGAGGAGCAGTCGCCCTCTGAGCCCAGTGCATCTAGCTCCACATGAGCATCAGGCTGTCTCTGCGTCTTTGCCATCTTAGAGAAGTCACTTCGTCCTCTGCCCACTTGTGCTCATGCTCTGCTGTCCTGGAGAGGCTGCCCTGGTCCTTCACTGACATCCAGCCCAGTGTATCTTTTTATTAAATGTTTTTATAAAAATTCATTCATTTGAGCCATCAGGTAGCATACTGGTTAAGGTAACTGGATCCCACATGGCCTACTGAGCAGCTTGAAAATCAAGCCAGGAGGCCAAAATACTGAGAGGAGAATGGAATAGAAGGGATTGCAGTGTGGTCATACCCCTGGGGTGGTTTCTCACTTTCTCTCTTTCTTTATCTCTCTCTTGTGAGAGCACAAACCCTGTATCAAAAACTTAAAAAAAATTAATTGATCTTTTTTGTGATTGAGAAAATGAGACAGGAAAGAGACAGAGACAGAGAAATCACTTCTGACAGGGTCACGAATGGGCAGCAAATGGTCCCTGTCATCATGAGCATAGACTCAGGAGTTACACAATAAGAACAAAACATTCACAAATCAATTAAAGATCAGTGCAGACTCCCTGTTACTAGGAATGGTTTGTATATACATTGCTTAAAGGTTACAGCTGAAGGTTAGTTTATGGATGAACAGAATCAGCAGAGTACATTTAGGGTTCAGAGCCCCTAATCTAGTGATGGTAATGTGGGAGTGGAGTGCATAACTTTGAAACAACCCCAATCCATAGGCCAAATCCATGAGGTGAAGGTCATGGTCAAGATATTCAGGTCTAGCAGGATCAATAACTGGGCCCCAGGAAGAGAGGCCAAAAAGGGAGGAGGGAGGCGCGCTCAATGGATGGAGCCTATCCTCAATTTGCTTCCTGGGAAATGTGAAGAAGGCTGAACCCTGATCGATCCTGGTACCCAGGAGACTAATGAATATTGATGTAGGGAGCAGCCCAAATCTGAGCAAACATGGTGACCTTTTTTTTCTTGAGAGGTTTTTGCTATAGGGTGTATGTGCTCGCCAGAAAGAGCAGGTCTGAGGCCTTTGGCTCCTACCCTGGAGGCTCTGTCCCTAAGAAGAGCAGGTGTGAGTCCTCTCCCCCAGCCTTTCTCCAGGTGCTGCCTGCTGCCGAGTCATGACCATTCAAGGCAGAGGAGCAGTCGCCCTCTGAGCCCAGTGCATCTAGCTCCACATGAGCATCAGGCTGTCTCTGCGTCTTTGCCATCTTAGAGAAGTCACTTCGTCCTCTGCCCACTTGTGCTCATGCTCTGCTGTCCTGGAGAGGCTGCCCTGGTCCTTCACTGACATCCAGCCCAGTGTATCTTTTTATTAAATGTTTTTATAAAAATTCATTCATTTGAGCCATCAGGTAGCATACTGGTTAAGGTAACTGGATCCCACATGGCCTACTGAGCAGCTTGAAAATCAAGCCAGGAGGCCAAAATACTGAGAGGAGAATGGAATAGAAGGGATTGCAGTGTGGTCATACCCCTGGGGTGGTTTCTCACTTTCTCTCTTTCTTTATCTCTCTCTTGTGAGAGCACAAACCCTGTATCAAAAACTTAAAAAAAATTAATTGATCTTTTTTGTGATTGAGAAAATGAGACAGGAAAGAGACAGAGACAGAGAAATCACTTCTGACAGGGTCACGAATGGGCAGCAAATGGTCCCTGTCATCATGAGCATAGACTCAGGAGTTACACAATAAGAACAAAACATTCACAAATCAATTAAAGATCAGTGCAGACTCCCTGTTACTAGGAATGGTTTGTATATACATTGCTTAAAGGTTACAGCTGAAGGTTAGTTTATGGATGAACAGAATCAGCAGAGTACATTTAGGGTTCAGAGCCCCTAATCTAGTGATGGTAATGTGGGAGTGGAGTGCATAACTTTGAAACAACCCCAATCCATAGGCCAAATCCATGAGGTGAAGGTCATGGTCAAGATATTCAGGTCTAGCAGGATCAATAACTGGGCCCCAGGAAGAGAGGCCAAAAAGGGAGGAGGGAGGCGCGCTCAATGGATGGAGCCTATCCTCAATTTGCTTCCTGGGAAATGTGAAGAAGGCTGAACCCTGATCGATCCTGGTACCCAGGAGACTAATGAATATTGATGTAGGGAGCAGCCCAAATCTGAGCAAACATGGTGACCTTTTTTTTCTTGAGAGGTTTTTGCTATAGGGTGTATGTGCTCGCCAGAAAGACAGAGAGATACAGACAGATAGAAAGCAAGAAATCATTACCCCGGGGGTATGGCCAAGCTGCAATCTCTTCTCCATTCTCCTCTCGGGATCTTGGGCTTGCATGCACATGTCTGGCGTGAGTTTAAGCCACCGGGTCCAGGGCTTGAACCTTATTCGACTATGTGGGAGTCCAGCGACACAGCCATTACACCAACTGCTGGTCCCCATGGCGAACTTTAGACATGCAGAAATGTGGTTCCATGGGCAGTCATATGCAAGGCAATTAACACCATTAACATGTGAATACACTAGCTGCCTTGTGTTTCTCAAACTGCAGAGCAGTATTGGGTTAAAGGAAGCCACATGTTAATCAGACTTGGCCTGAGAAGATTAGAGAAAATTTACAAACAACTGGCTTTGCTTTCCACATCCCCTTCCCCTATTTTCTGCCCTTTAAAAAAGTAAACTTAGAATCAGCTCTGGACATTTGCTTTCTTCATCCAAGGAGTCAAGACCACCCAATCCCCTCCTTACTTTACTTGTATGTCTTTGTGTGTTTATTTCTATGTTTATTTTCAAATCCATGGCTGCGCCCCCTCAGAGCACGCATTCATTTAGCCAAGTGGAACATGCTTGCCCCACTAGACACAGTCATGTCAGGATATGAATGATCAACCCATTCCAGCATTTACTGAAACAAACCCATTTCCTCTCCTTAATCATTCACACTACAAAGATAAAATCTGGTGGAAGTTGGGTATATGGAGAACTCATTGATTATTTTAAAAACTATTTTAAAAAATACATAAAACTAGTATACTATTACTAAAATATTTAAGAGAAAAAATTGTGTTTTAAATGCAAGTACTTACAAAGTAACAGGTTGGCATTTAAAGATGATCTGATCAATAAGTTACACAAACAATAACAAGAATAAACAAAATCGGGCCAGCAGATGGTGTGGTGGTTAAGGCACTAGACTCCCACGTGACTGACTGTGGCTCAAGTCCTGGACCTGATGGCTTGAAAGACGTATTGGATGGATGCATGTGTGTGTGTGTATGTGTTCACAAAATCTTGAGAGGAAAATGGAGAACTGATTGCAGTGTGGCCATCCTGCCTGGGGGGTGATATCTCACTTTCTATCTTTCTCTTGAACACATGTGCCCTACAACCAGAAAACTACCCCTCCCCCCCAAAAGAGACTCTTGGACTTATGATTTTTTATTTCTCTGTCTTAAAAGAATCAGATTTAAAATAGGACACAGGCCTGGCAGGTAACATGGTGGTTAAGGAATTGGAGTCCCATATGGCCAACCATAGTTCTAGTCCTAGACCTGGAAGCTGCTTTTTCACTTTTTCTTTCTCCCTACCTCTCTGTTATCTTCTCTGGTGAACTCATTTGCCCTCTAGCAAAATTTTAAAATATAACAATAATAAATAAAATAAAATAAATATATTTTTAAGTAAAAGGATGCAAAAAGCCTATGATGGCCACTTTTTGATATTCTACCATAGTCCAGGAAAGTGCCCCAGGGCCACAATAAAAATACAGGAGTTTTGGAAAAGAACAGAAACTACTAGAGCTAGTAAACAAGTTCTCAGCAAGGGTGGTAGCTCAAAGTTATATAAGAATATAAAAAAATTATCGGTGTTCTCAAGCACTAGCAACAATTCAGCATGTAAAGGTCAATGGGTGATGACAGTGTCCCCAACCTTTTTAGTGCCAGGGGCCAGTTTTGTGGGAGACGATTTTTCCATGGACCATGGGGCTGGGGGGATGGCTCCAGGCTGGTTCAAGTGCATTACATTCACTGAGCACATTATTTCTATTATATTAGAATATATAACGAAATGATAAAACTTGCCATACTGCAGAATCACTGGGAGTCCGGGGATTGTTTTCCTGCAAATAGAATGCAACTGCATTCAAGGGCTGGCAAATGACATGGTGGTTAAGGGTGCTAGATTCCCACCTGGCTAACCACAGTTTGAGTCCCGGACCTGGCTACGGTGTGCATTTCTCACTTTCTGTCTCTATTTCTCTGTCTGGCCTGAGAGGGGGCAGTGGAGGTCCTGGGCAAGTCCCGGTCAAGCCCCGGTGAGGCCCCGCTTCAGCCCTGCCATGTACAGCTGACTGTCTTCGCTTTCTCTTTCTCTCTCTCTTTCTCACTGTCCCTGTCTGGTCAAATTAAAAAAAAAAAAAAAAAAAAAAAAAGATGAACAGAAATAAAGAATGCAACTGCATTCAAAGTCAAGCTGGAATGATGGGGCTGGTGAGCTAACACTGGGGTTTTGACACATTGCAATGTGAGTCTTTAATACCGCTGACCTAACAAGAGGCAGAGCTGAGGTGATGAGGCCAGAGCAATGGGGAGTGGCTGCAAATGCAGATGATGTTTCATTTGATCTCCCCACACACCTCTGCAGTGTTGCCCAGTTCCAAACAGAGGTTGGGGACTCCCAGGGACTTCACTGGAAACAAGTCTAAGAAAAGCTGTTAGAAAAAGTGCAATACTGGGGCCAGCAGGTGGCAAAGCAGTCACATCACTGAACTCCCACATGGCCAGATGCGGTTCAACCCTGGCGGCTAGAAAACCATGTTGGGCACACATGCATGCATGTCCAAGGTCCGGGGAGGAGAATGGGGGAGCAGGGATTGCAGTATGGTCATTTCCCCATGGGAAGTGATTTCTCACTTTCCAACTCACAGTCTCTGTTCTCTTTCTGATGAGCGCACATGCTCTAAGGCAAAAACCTCTAAAAATAAAAAGTGCAAGACTCATTAAAAACATAAAAGGTCTGCATGAATTAAGGTGTAGACCACACTGACAGACAGGAATCTCAGAGTCACAGAGATGTCTCTTCCTGGAACTGATCTACACTGACAGCAGGGCTCTCACAGAGCATGAACACCTGTCCCTAAAGTCATGTCCGTCTAGAAAGGCCCAGTGCAATGTCAAACACTAGGATGATAGGGTGAACTTCCACACCCAATATTAGGATTACTTGAAAGACCTGTGGAGAGCGGTGGGGAAGGAGCCAAGCATAGACAAAGCGAAGGAAAAGAGGAAAGAGCTCAGATACGAGGGGTCTTCAAAGGTCATGGACAATGCATATTATGAAGAAAAACTATCCATGGGTTCCAAACATTTCTTACACCACTATAAACCTGTGGGATGTGAATCCAATCACTAAGCTTATGTGCAGACTTTAATTTATGGTTTTGTTTATGTGAAGGGGTTGGGGACGGGTTGGTGCTCTCTGTCTTTTGAATATTTTTGAGGTGAAAGTTACAGAACCCAAAAAGAATGCTGAGGCAGGCTGAGGTCCCCGGCCCTGTTCCTGTTCCAGCCTGCTCTGGGGCAGGTTGTTCTTCCGCAGCCCTGCACTCCTGGGCCTCAGGGCTGACCTGAGACCACCGCCTTCTCTCTGAGCTGGGTGAGGCCCAGATGGTGGCGCAGGCAGGGATGGGTACTCTCCTAACCCCCACGCACCGTCCTCACTTCAGGGCTCTGCTCAGGCGTGGCTAGAGTGTTCAGGCCCCTGGAAACATGGCTTCTCCTCCAGGAAGAAACCCTGATGGAGGACGTGATTCCAGAAGGATGTGAGGCACATGAAGGACCTTCATTCTCCACAGCCCATGAGTTTGCTTGGATGGACCTGGGTGATCGAGGGCTGAGCATTAACGAGTGCTCACACTGCCTTCGTCCACACCACAGCCCTCAGGGTCTGTGTGAGCAACAAACCTCACCCCTTAGATGTCAGGCACCTCCACTGACTGGCCTGAGAGGGGGCAGTGGAGGTCCTGGGCAAGTCCCGGTCAAGCCCCGGTGAGGCCCCGCTTCAGCCCTGCCACGTACAGCTGACTGTCCTCAGCAGCGGCCGGGCTGTCTCTGAGCCTGAGCCCCTCAGTCCCGTCAGAGTGTCTGAGCATCTCCACCACCTTGGGCAGCTGAGGGGACTTGTGCAAAGTAGATGCTAAGATTTAGAACTCAGCACAGAAAACCCACTGCTGTTATGCCAGGAATCCTCACCCAGAGCCCAGGATCCCTCCCCCAGAGGCTCAAAGCCTTCTCCCTCACCAGGCAGGAGCTGAGCTCTGGGCCCAGATGTGGCTGGGAGGGGTGGTGGGCAGAGGGCCCCTGCCTGCCCCATCCACCAGGGAGGCCCCTGCCCTGTGCCCTCAGCAGGTCTGGGCATCTCCCTCTGGCAACGACTTTGCCTCTCCCTTTGCAGTTCCCCAGGCTGCTGCACCCAGGGACCAGGCTCCATCAGAGGCCTGCTGTGCCCAGCCAGAGAGCAGGGAAGGTGGGCCCTCCTATCCAGGGACTAGGAGGAGGAGGCAGGCAGGGCCTCCAATCACAGAGCCCTGGAAGGTCTCTCACAGATAAGGGGCACCTACAGGAAAGAGGAACTGCAGCCTGAGCCCCAAGACAAACCTCAGGGCTGAGAAAAGCCTGCAGGGACTTCCCAGGTCAGGGATGTGGGAGGGCCAGGAGAGAGGGGGTTGAGCCTGAAGAAGCTCCTGCACCCTGAGGTCCTCCCACCCCTAAGCAGGAAGAAGGCGGGGCCTGTGCTCAAGGCCTGAGAGTCCATCCCCCAATAAGGGGCTGGCCCAGACAGGGTCCTGAAAGCAGGAAACAGAAGCTCAGGCCTGGGACAAAGACAAGCCAGGACAAGCCTGCAGGGAGCTGCAGCAGGACTTGGTAGGTACATATGCTGACACCCCACCCCACCGCTGGGCCCCCTGCTGTCCCCTCTTGGGTCCTGCTGGGTCTGTGCCCTCAGGCCCCTGCTCCGCCCACTCCAGCCACTCCAGTCCATCCCAGCCCTGAGTTCCCCCTCCCTGGGCCCCTGCAGCACCCACTCCCCTCCCTCTCTGCTCCCACTGCTGACCCCACCCCCAGTCCTGGGTGCCCCTCCGTGCTGGGCCTCACCCAGAGAGAGACAAGACCCTGGCGACCCCTGCCCTGTGTGGCAGCCCCCGTGGGTCCCACGTCCCTGTGCTCTGTGAACACGCAGATCTGCACCAGGGATGGGGAGCAGTGGTTCTGTCCCAGCACTCTCCCGCTCTCCTGTGACCTCACTTTGAGCCCGCAGTTACTGAGGGTGGGGAGGAGGCACTGCTCCCTGAGGCCAGGAGATAAACTTACCCCCAAGGACATCGCTCTGAGAGCAGGGGGAGGACAGCGGGCCCTCACTTGGGTGCAGCCTCAGGGACCTCGCTTCTTCCTCTGACCCACACCAGGAGAGTGGGTGGGGGAGTCGGGCCACGGGAGCCACGCTCCTGTTTTCCCATCAGATGCACCCCAGCCACGCTGTACAGGGGACCAGCCCCCTCAGACTCCAGCCGTGACATGGCAGGTCCCCCACTGCCTCTGCCTGCTCATCTGCTAGATGGCCGTGGTGGCCACAGGGTCTGGGCGGCAGGGAGGGGTGAGGGCAGGACACTGAGTGTGGTGTGTGTGGTGGTGGGTCCATGGGAAGGACCAGAGCTGGTGAGAGGTGAGAGGTCACCCCTCCCTGCTGCCCCTAGGCATCATCCCCTCCTCTTCCTCTCTTTTGTTGGGAAAGGCAACAGAAATTCTCAGAGCTGTGGAATAAGAGGGGGTGGACATAGCACCCGGGGTCCAGGGAGCTGTGCTCAGGGACAGCAGCCTGGACCCGCTCCAGGAGCGCCCCTCAGTCCGATCTCTCTCTTGTGCCCAGACACCTGATGAAGCTGTTATTTCGAAAAACATTTTACTTTCACTTTCAAAACCTACTCTTTGCTTCTGGTCGGAACACCACCTTCCTGTGCTGCCGAGTGGACAAAGTTGAGCGGCATGGCACGGTGCCCCTGGTCAGCGGGGTCTTCACACACCAGGTGAGAGCCAGAGTGTCCTCACACCGCAGGCAGGAGCTTCCCCGGGAGGACGCAGAAGTCACAGGGAAAGGGCCACAGGGCGGGCTCTGAATTCTACATTTTCCTCCCACCACGTTTTCTGCCGTCCTCCGCTCTTGATGTTCCTGCTGGACTGTCTGGGCACCGGATCCCTTTGGAGGGATCATGAAAGGCTTCATGTAAAAGCCAATTCCTGCCCCACCGAGGTCACTTACCGTGGCCCCGTCACCGAGCTTTGCATCCAGCGAGTCCAGAGAAAGAGCACCTGTGGAGGGCTGGGGGCCGAGCACCTGCACCTGCACCTGCTGGGCTGGGTGAGCCGCCCTGGGCAGCCACTAGGGCAGCTGTGACCACCATCAGCCATTGCCAGAGCAATGACCACTTGCAGCCCCTCATCCATGAAGTCTCGCGTGTCTCCCACACTCCCGCCTTCTCCACCCAAGCTGGAGATGAGCAGAGTGTGTCTGGGGCCGGGAGCACCATGGACTGAGCAGGACCGCGCCAGGGTGGTGCTGTCGGAGTGACACCGTAGGAGCCAGTGAGCCGGGTGATTCCACTACCTGTAGGTTAAGTAGCTGACGGACACTGGTGACATTTGTTCCCATAATGTATTTTAGTCCAGTATGTCTGACAGTATCTCATCACACGGTCATGGACCCCACAACCGGGTCCATCAGGCTGTCATACGTGACCATGGTCCCAGGTCAATACCGAATAGCCTAGATGTGCTGCGGGCCACACCATCCGAGTGTGTAGGTGCGCTCTGCATGTCTGCACACAGACAGCATCACTTGGTGACATGTTTCTCAGACAGTGTCCCCGTCACTGTGCAGTCAGGCAGGCTGACAGCACTTCATGTGGGTCTGCACGAGGCGGTGTGCACCGCACCGTCTCTCCTGTCGTCTCTGACATGAGCCGTGGGTGTCACACTCGCCACACGACCCCATCCACCTGAGCCACGTTTCCATGCTCTGTGGCCCCACGTGGCAGCCGCTCCATGATGGGTCAGGGTCTGTGCCCTCCCAGCACGCAGCAGGCAGGGACACGCCTGAGTCTGAGGGCCCGGCCAGAGCAGGCTCAGGGGCTGTAGAATGGATGCCGGGAACGCACGCGAGACTTCATGGATGAGCTTGGGGGGAGGGGGAGGCCAAGCCTCCAGGGGAGGGGAGGGACTGAGAGGAGAGAAGCCCTTGATCAGAACGTCCTGGGCTGCTCCCTGGTCCCTGCCCTGACCCCTGCCCCTGCTCTCTCCTGACCTCTCCTCCCCTCCCAGGTCTGGTCTTCCTACCATGCAGAATCTCACTTTCTCTTGTGGTTCCAAAAAAACTTCCTGTCCCTTGACAAGGACTTCCAGGTCACCTGGTACTTGTCCTGGAGCCCCTGCCCTGCATGTGCAAAGCAGGTGGCCGACTTCCTGGCCGTGCACCGAAACGTGAGCCTGACCATCTTCTCCGCCCGACTCTACTACTTCTGGGACCCAGAATTCAGGGATGGGCTTCACAGACTGTTTGAGAAAGGGGCCCGGGTGGCCATCATGTCCCCCAAAGGTGAGCAAGGGGTAGAATTAGGGTTGGGAGGAGGAGTCTTGGGAGCTCTGGGAGAGGGTGTGGGACTTAGGGGAGCCTGCCCAGGACTCAGCCCACCTGATTTTAGTGTGATCCATGAGACCCGGCCCTCAGAGGAGAACCTCAAGGCTCAAGGAGAAAGTTCTGGGGCCCCAACTGTGTTCTCTCCTTGTCTCAGATTTTGAAAACTGCTGGGAAGGCTTTGTGTTCAACGAGGGAAGGGACTTCAGGCCTTGGGACAACATGGTTGAAAATTATCAGTCCCTGCGCATCACCCTGCAGGAGATCCTCAGGTGAGGCCTCACGGCAGCCCACGGCCCTGTCCCCACCCTGAGCTCCATCCTGCCCTGGGTGCCTGCCCTGGGCCTGCCCTGGCGTGCCCTCTCCCCTGCCCTCCCAGCCCCTTCTGTCAGGGGCCCCTTTCCTCCTTCAGAGCACCCCCATCCGCCCCAAGGCCCCCTCTCTCCTACCTGGGAGGCGCCTCACCTGGGTCCTTCCTTCACACCTGAGCACCCGCATGTTAGGGAGCAGCACCGCAGAGGGCAGGACTGCATGTGTGTGTGCGCGTGCATGTGTGTGACAGACGCTGTGAGAGGCCCTGACGGCAGACGAGTGAGCAGAGTGAGCGTCTCTGAAGGAAAAGGCCATCAGGTGCCAGGGCTGCCCTGACGCTACGCCACGACCAGGTGCTTAAATCCAGGGGGTGATTTTCTCCAGTTCTGGGGCCTGGAAGTCCATGGCTGTGCCTGCAGACGGTCTCTTCCCAGACTGTCTCTGCTGAAGGGGTCACCTGCTCGCTGTCCTCACAGGCCCTCACCCTGCGCCCTCTTCTCATGTCTGGATGCCAGTGGGACTGGAGTAGGGCCCACCTGCGGGCCTCGTCTTTACTTTATTGCCCCTGTGAAATCCTGGGCTCTGAGATGTTCATGCTCAGTCCTGGGGTGGAGTTTTCACGTGTGGATTTGGGCTCAGAGTTCGGCCGTGGCAATGCTGAAGCCCTCTATGGGCGGGGCATCTGGAGGCACCCAGGTCCCTGCCCTGTGTATGCCCTTCCATCGAGCCTCGCTCAGGAAGTCGTGAGCCTGAGTGGGAGCGGCGGTGGACTAGAAAGAAGACAGACACACAGAGAAAAGCAGGGAGCGGGTGGCCCCGCGTCTCTGATGGAGATAGCCGCAGCCCTGAGCCGTTCCTAAGTTTATGCTTTTATAGTGCAAAGGGCGGGTGGCGGCAGATTGCCAAGCGGGGTGTTGTGCTATCAGCTGAAGTGTGGACATCGGTGTCTTGCAGTTCTGAACTAGCCTCCTCTGTCTCCCTGGCCCGCTCTGGCTGGTGCAGCTTCTCTCCACCTCTGCTGGCCTTGCAGTGCAGGCATGAGTCGCGGGAATGCCTTTGCTCTTCCTTAAAGGCTACCAGTGTTCTGCCCAGATCCTGACATCTGCTCTAGGGATTCCTGACCTGGCCCTGACACCCTGCAGCCCCAGGTGTGACAGCTTCCCCCCAATACCCACCCCCTCCTGTGTCCCTACGCCCCATCCCGCCCAGAGGTGAAGCCTGGGTGAGATCCAGCTCAGGGCAGTGATGGAGACAGAGCCAGAAAACGCTCCATGTGTGAGTGACATTTACTGAAGATGCTAGAAGGACCGGGAGGGCGGGTATGTGAGGCTGGACGTGACCTGAGTTGGGGACGAGCAGCAGGAAGAGCAGAGAGCCGGATTCAGGCAGGCCAGACCAAGGGCAGCTTGGACCCTCACGTGAGCCAGGAAGGGAGGTCCTGGCGCAAGGGAAGAGCCGGGAGGACGCTCAGGACAGGGTCCAGGCTCCTGACACAGTGACGAGAGGAGGCCAGGGCTCAGCCTGGACTGGTGCAGCTGCAAGTGGACAGACGTGGGCGGGAGGGGGACACGCAGGAGCGAGGGGACATCGGGGCCACACCCACCTGCCACTCCCACGCAGGGCTAAGTCTCCGTGGGAAGGAATGGGGATAGCAGACGTGTGTGGCCTCGCTCTCCCTCCCCGTCCCTGCAGCTACTCGGGAGTCTGTCCCCACATCTGAGGGGAGTGGGGTTTCCATGCAAGCAGTTACATTGTTAAACAAAAGGGTTTGGAGCTAGTTAGCAAAGACAGTGGCAGGTACAGGATGGTCCTGGATACGGTTTTCTGTATGGCTAGCACAAGCTATTTTCTTATGGGAAGAGCAAGCAGGGTTACAGAAGCAGCCAGCCATGTTAGGGCAAGGGAACAAAAGGGACAGTTCATGTGCCAGATCTGATATGCGGCCTTCCACACCACCCCAGAGCCTGGGAGCTGGGTGGGATGTCTGAAAGTAGGAGTATGGGGGAGCAGCTGGGAAAGGCTCCTTGGAAACTCAGAGCTGTGTCCAGTCTACCCCCTGAGGTGCTTAGGGCCCCAGCACCTCCACCAGGAAGGCCCCTCCCTTGTGCTCCCAGCAGGCCTGGACCACTTCCTCCCTCTGGCAACAAAGACTTTCTCTTGCCCTTTGCAATTCAGTTGGGCCCTGCTGCACAGAGGGGCCACTCTTCCACGCTCTGTGCGTGCCCTTTCTGGCTGGGCCTCGTCCCAAGAGACATGCAACCCTGGCGACCCCTGCCCTGTGTGCCAGACCCCATGGGGCCCACGTCCCTGTGCTCTGTGAACACGCAGATCTGCACCAGGGATGGGGAGCAGTGGTTCTGTCCCTGCACTCTCCCGCTCTCCTGTGACCTCACTTTGAGCCGCAGTTACTGAGGGTGGGGAGGAGGCACTGCTCCCTGAGGCCAGGAGGTAAACTTGCCCCCAAGGACAGAGGGCAAGGCCACCCTGGCTGTGGTCCTGACGACCTGGGAGACTAGGGCTCAAGAACCACGACTGGGCAAGACCCTGTCAAAACGGTACCTCTGTGTCCTTAAAAAGCATACTTCGAAAGCAACATTCACACGCGGTCAGGCGTGACCGGACCGGAGGTTAAGAGCTATCGTTTGGGCTGGAGAGGCCTTCTCCTCCATTTGTCCAGTGGACCGGGGAATGGGCGGGCAGGTACTGGCAGTGTGCGGGCGTTCCACCAGAAGGTCCAGAGCCGGGCCGATAGGGAAAAGCCGCCCCACGTTGCCGACCCATTCCTGGGAAGGTGGCAGAAATGAAGGTGGGTGGGGTACCAGGGAGCCGTGCTTGGGGACCACAGCCTGGACCTGCTCCAGGAGCGCCCCTGCATTTCCCGATCTCATGTGCCCAGATACCCGATGGAGCGGTTATTCCGGAAGACATTTTACTTTCACTTTCAAAACCGACTCTATGCCTCGCGTCGGAACACCACCTTCCTGTGCTACCGAGTGGACAGAGAGGAGCGGCCGGGCACCGTGTCCCTGGCCAGGGGCGTCTGGAGAAACCAGGTATGAGCCAGTGAGAAGCACGAGGTCTGTGTTTCCCATCACAAAAGGAATCGAAGGGCAGGAAGCGAGCCGCTCGGCCCAGGCCTCCTGAGAGAGAGATGGCCCAGGCAGAATGCACCAGCATCAAGGGGGGCAAGCAGGCCGCTCCTTCCCGGGGTCCCCTTTATTCTGTTTCAGATCCTTTCATGTGCCCAAAGGCCCCTTCCAGCTTGCTACCTTTTTTTTTTTTTTAAATAATTATTTCATTTAACTTTCTTTCTTTCTTTTCTTTCTTTCGAGGGACAGAGTGAGAGAGACAGAGAAAGTGAGAAAGCAAGCCCAGGTCTGGGACTCGCACCACGGTCGGCCACGTGAGAGTCCAGCGCCCTTACCACCAGGCCACCTGCCCGCCCCCCAGCTTGCTACATTTTATCTGTTTTCTCATTTTTGTTTCTCATGAGTCTCAGGATATATATAGGTAGTTATTTCATTCTGATGGATGTTACCCTGTGAGTGGTTCCATAGGGCCCTTCTTAACCTTTGCAGTCCCGGTCTCCCGAGCAGGCAGGCGCCACCCCAGGGAGGCCGCAGACGTCACAGGGAAAGTGCGACATGGCAGCCTCTGAGTTCCGCATTCCCTTCCCACCGTGTTACCCCCGTCCTTAGCCCCTGACATACCCGCTTGACTGTGTGGCATCTGCTTTGGGGGGATCACAAAAGGCCTCATGTAGGATCCACCACCTGACCCCACCGTGGTCACTCCCCGTGGTCCCATCACCGAGCTCTGTGTCCAGCGAGTCCCAGGACAGTCACCTCAGAGGGCTGGGGTCTGAGCACCAGCTCCTCCCCTGGCCCTGTACCTGCTGAGCTGGGAGGGCCACCCTGGTCATAGCCCTGGGCCCTCAGTCAAGGACAAGTCGTCACACCCTGCTGAACCTCCCCTGACTGCCCAGCCCCATGTAGGGCACCCTGGGCTGCCACAGGGCAGCAGTGACCAGCAGCAGCCATTGTCAGAGCAGGGCCCCACCTGCAGCCCCCTCCCAGCCACACTGCCCCACCAGTGTCCCCCACGCTCCTACCTCCTCCACTCAGGCTGGAGACGTGTGTGTTCAGGGGCAGTAGCCGATGTGGGCTGAGCAGGCTCGCTCCAGGGAGGTGCTATCTGATAGACACCGGAGGAGCCAGTGTGTCGGGTAAACGATCCTATTACCTGTGGGTTAAAAAGCTGACAGATGTGGGCTAGCAGATGACGTGGTAGTTAAGGCCCTGGACTCCCACAGTTCCGAATGCGATTCGAGTCTCGGACTCTGCAGCTTGAAAATGACGCCGGGCACCTGTGTGTGCATGCCCCAAATCCCTAAGACATGTGATTTCTCCCTTTCCCTCTGTCTCTCTCTTTCCAGAGAGCAAAAGCACCCTATGGTAAAAACAGAAAACAAAACAAAACAGAACCCTGACAAATGCTGGTGACGTCAGACTCCCAGGCAGGCAGGTCGGATCGCACGTGTAACTGTGGTCCCAGGTCAATGCCGAATGGCCTAGGGGAGCCGTGGGCTGCACCATCCGAGCGTGCAGGTGCACTCTGCGTGTCTGCACACCGACACCACCCAGAGACACATTCTCAGACAGCGTCCCTGTCACTGCAGTCTGGGAGGCTGACCGCACCACACACAGCTCTGCGTGAGGTGTACCGCCATCTCTCCTGTCGTCTCTGACATGAGCTGTGGGTGTCACACTTGCCACATGACCCCATCACCTGAGCCACGTCTCCATGCTCAGGGGCCCCCGGTGGCAGTGGCTTCCTGATGGGACAGAGCTGCTCCTGCCCTCTCAGCAGGCAAGGACAGGCCTGAGCCCCGAGGACCCATCCAGAGCAGGCTCAGGGGCTGTAGAATGGATGTGGAAGAGCGCAGGGGAGAGGGACACTGAGCCCACCACGGGAGAAGAGGGACTGAGAGGAGAGAAGCCCCTGATCAGAAGTTCCTGGGCTGCTCCCTGTCCCCGCCCGGCCCTGACCTCTGCCCCTGCCCTCTCCTCCCCTCCCAGGTGCATCCTACCTGCCACGCAGAATTGCGCTTTCTCTCGTGGTTCCAGAGTAACATGCTGTGCCCCAACAAGGACTTTCAGGTCACCTGGTACTTGTCCTGGAGCCCCTGCCCTAACTGTGCAAAACAGGTGGCCGACTTCCTGGCCGCGCACCGGAACGTGAGCCTGACCATCCTCACCGCCCGACTCTACTACTTCTGGGACCAAAAATTCAGGAATGGGCTTCGCAGACTCTGTGAGGAAGGGGCCCGGGTGGCAATCATGTCCCCCCAAGGTGAGCACTGGGGGGACGTCAGGACTGGGGGAGGTGCAGGGTGAGGGGTGGCAGCTCACTGATGCTGGCAGAGGGGGCAGGACCCAGGGAAGCCTGCCCAGAACTCAGCCCTCCTGGTCTTAGCGGGATCCTCCGGGGGAACTGGCCCTGGGAGGAGGAGGTCCTGGAGGGTCGAGGAGAATGGCTGGGGGGCCTGACTGCTGTCCCCCTCCTTTGTCTCAGATTTTAAAAACTGCTGGGAAGACTTTGTGTGGAACAAGGGATGGAACTTCACGCCTCGGTTTAATGTGGGTAGAAATTACCAGCTCCTGGCCAGCAGGCTGGAGGAGATCCTTGGTCCTCACTCTTGACTCGTGCCACCGCTGGGATACAGCTGGAAACCTCGAATTCCTGACCTGTGAGGCCCTTTGGGGACAGCAAGTCCCCTGCCCTTTGCAGGAACATGAGGGCCAGGAGGCCGCTGCCATGGAGGGAGCACGGCCTGGCTGACCTGGCCTGGCCTCCAGCTCTGCCGTGCATTTGCTGTGTGACCTGCAGAGGGCTTCTCAGCCTCTCTGTGCCTCGGATCTCCTCTGGAACGTCAGCGTCATTGCTGAGGCTGGAACGTGACTGGCCCCTTCATGGTCACGATGCAGTTTGGTTGCCAACATGTGGTGGCCCTGTCTCAGGTGGGATTTTAAGATAAGGCTGGATCCCAATGGAGTCGTCTGAGTTACGGGGCTCTGTGCTGGGCAGGTCGGCTCTGGTTCTGGGGGGACCGATTAGGTTCTTCGTCTGTGGGACTGCTGGCATTACCCGAGAGCGGCGGCTACCCAGTGAGGTCACCTCTCCTGCTCTCTGTCACGTGCCCCGGGCTCCCCTTCGGCTTCTCGGCCATATCGATACGGCGACACCCTGACACAAAACAGCCACATGGCTGTCGCGATGCTCCCTCGATGCTCCTGGGGTCTGGGTGGAGGATGGGCACAGGATCTGTCACCTCCAGGGCTGAGTGACCCCTCGTGCCCAGCAGGGTGGTGTGCCGAGCGTCCCAGCCTGCCTGCCCGTCAGGGGAGGCCCTGCCCGTCAGGGGAGGCCCTGCCCTGTGCTCACCACAGACTGGACCGTCCTCTCTGGCGCCTACGACTTCCTCTACCTTTTTAATCCCCTTGGGCCCTGCTGCACCGAGGGCCGCTCTTCATGGTGTGTGGGTGCCCCTCCTTGCTGAGCCTTATCCCGAGAGCCATGACCCCTACCCTGTGTGGCAGCCCCCCATGGGTCCCACGTCCCTGTGCTCTGTGAACACGCAGATCTGCACCAGGGATGGGAGCAGTGGTTCTGTCCCAGCACTCTCCCGCTCTCCTGTGACCTCACTTTGAGCCCGCAGTTACTGAGGGTGGGGAGGAGGCACTGCTCCCTGAGGCCAGGAGATAAACTTACCCCCAAGGACATCGCTCTGAGAGCAGGGGGAGGACAGCGGGCCCTCACTTGGGTGCAGCCTCAGGGACCTCGCTTCTTCCTCTGACCCACACCAGGAGAGTGGGTGGGGGAGTCGGGCCACGGGAGCCACGCTCCTGTTTTCCAATCAGATGAACCCCAGCCACGGCTAACGGCGGGGGGGGGGGTAAGGCCCCGCCC